GAGCTGCTCGCATCCAGTAGAGCCCACAATTGGGTGGTTAGGTTTTTCATTGGGACTCTAGGCTTTACAGCGTAGACCTGCAGCCTGTTCAACTTGGGTCTAGGTTTGAAGCAACTAAAATCTGCTGAAGAACAAGATTCACGAGGGACTTGAGCTCTCTGAGCCTCCATTCAGTGCCAGCTTCTTGGCTGGAGAGCCCTCCATTGTAGAGCGTACACTTTTCAGGACAGAGACTCTCTTACTTTGTCCATATATTGGGTCTAGAACAAGAATACACGATGCTGACTGGGCTCAGTAGGCTTTATGGAAGTACAAGCAGAAACAAGAGCATTCTGCAAGTCTGAAAGCAGGAAAACAGTGTATAGAGACATAATAAATGCAAGAAAACGTGTATTTTCATCGACTACAAGAAAAGATTTAAGCTAAAGGTCAAAATTTTGGCTTATCAATCAGATTAAGATGACTTGGAAGATAGCATATCTGCCAATGTCTGACATGCACAAAAGTTGTACTTGTCCATGTACAGTCCATGGAAAGGATGATACGGTAATCATAAAGAATAGATATCTAATCTTTACCAAGATCTACTCTGAGCTATTTAAAAACAGCATGCAAAAAGCAATCGTTGTTTAATTGCTTTCTCATTGTTTTGGTACATCTTATGGGGCTTTAGTTTGGAATACCTTTGCATACTTACTGTTAAACCTGGAGATGGCTGAAGTGGTTTCTTTTTGACCATTTTTGGAATCATATGGGAGTGGTTTAGTGATCTGAATCTGTAAATCCAGTGCACTGGTGTAACACACATAAAATCTTTGGTACCTGAATGAAACTGATTATAGTAAAAATGGCATAAAGTGCAGAGAGGGAACAATCCCGAAGCAAATGCCTAGTGATTCCCAGAGATGGATGCCTCTTCTCAGTTTCTACAGGGACTTGCTGAATAGAATTATCCTGTTCTGAGGGAGGGGGAGAGACAGACAGAACTGTCCAACAGTACTTACCAGCTAAAAAGGACATCCAGAACACTGCCAGTAACTGTTTTAAAGGTGGATGTATTCACAGCTTTTTAATTAAAATAATCTATGATCTACTATAACCTTTCAGCACAACCCTGGATTCCTACATCAGTTTGAATTGTTTGTGTAAAAACCAAAAGCAGATTTTCTATCTGTCCAATGCTTATTTAAAAGTCTACTGGACTCACCACCTGCTCTTTGTTTGTTCTCCTTACTACAAATGTCCAACATATACTTGATTTTCAGTTTGGTTGGTCTCCTGGTGTAGGCTGTGGCTGACGCTGCTGGTGATCCGGTAGGGAAAATGTCCTAAGGTTTCACTACTCCTTAACTGGTGGGAGATTGAGGCACATGCTCCACTGCCCACCCTTTGGGAACCTCTGGGTAGCAGATAAAATGTTCTGTGCAGGCACATACTTTTCTCATCTTCTAAGTACTTTCAGAATATAAATGCAATTACAGATGGTTCAGAATTGCCTTTCCTAATGCAAAAGAATTTAATTTAAGAAAAAAAATTACAATCTTTAACAAATCAATTGGTTAGTATGAGAGCTAACCTCCAGTTGAATCGCTAAATTGAAATTGTTTTTATAAAGTTAAAATATCAAAGAAAACCACACATCTGTTTTCAGAGGTGCCAAGAAGGAACACTCCTACTGAAATCTTTTGCTTAAAGATTCTACATAAGTAGAGTATCCTCACAGTTCCATTACGCTTGAGATAAAAACATTTGTGCCCCTATATTATAAATTATGAAGAAGACTTGTGGCATTCACTCCATTAATATCAGACATTAAAATAACTCTTTTGCTCTTTTTTATTTAGGAGGAAGATTACTTGATAATTGGGAGTTTTCCCAAATGGCGTATGTGCTATCTGGATCTATCAAACTACATTTTCTTTTCTGCCTTTGCAGCATACCCTCAAAATGCTGCAGCAGAAGAGCTGACCAACAATGGAAAAAGGTTTCATAAACTGCATGCTCTGTCTGTGCATGCCCAGCCCTGTGTTAGGGGTGTGGGAAAAAAACAGTCTGTGGTGCACGCTGTGCGCACACTGCAGTTCAACACCAGCCATGCTCAAGTGTCTTTCCTGGCCCCTCCAGCAAGCCCTGATGACTCCAGTGTGATTTGCTTTGTTCTGAAGGCAATGGTGTCCACACGCTGATGAGCAGCAAGGACAACCGGCGAGTTAGTGCTGCACTGTGGACTTGAGAGTCTACATGACAGCGTGAATGTGACCATTGCATAAGCTGCCAGAATTACAGGATAAATTATCCGTAACCCAGGGGTTTGGGTGGCCCTGTCCCCATCAAGCCTATACGGCTTTTGTGAGTCACCTGCGTTGTCTCTGCAGCTTGGGAAAGAGCCTGAGAGGGGAAGGCTCTGCCTCTTAATCAGATAAGGTCAAGATCAACCATAAATACACATACTTAATGAGCAGCGTCTAGGCTTTTTCTTACTTCACTTCTCGTTTCATCCCCTTCCCAATGTGCTAACGGACCAGGCAGGCAAAGGCCTTGCATTTCATTATCGTTCTGTGTGCTTTATTCTCCACTTAGGCTCCCTGTGTGAGCAAGAAGCGTTTGTCTGTAATTCTGAGGGCATCTTACTCCTGAGCCTGAGTAAGCCTGCTCTGCGCCAAGCGTTACGCTGGGTGACTCCTGCCCTGCAGTCTAAGAGGGAAAGGAGGTAACTGTGGTCCTACTACCCGTGCCCTGTCACGTGTTCCCAGGGGATAACCCAGGATTTAGGTCGCCTGCAATTATTCTGCAAGCTGAAGTCTATCCATTCTCCTGGCTGTATGCTCCCTGGAGGGTGTATAGTTGACAGGTTTCCTTTTAAGTAACCCGTCCGTGGACTTGGCAAACCTCAAGTTGTACTGAGAAGCGGCTGGCTTGGTATGGCACGGCAGCTGCCCCTCTGCATTTCCTTTATTTATTCCCTCTTTTACAAATCATGCCTAGAAATACATCACGTTCCCACCGCCTCCTATGCCTGCACACTTGTTCTTCGCTGCTTTCCCTGTCGTTTCCTCCAGTCGGAGACCTGCAGAGGGACCCCGGGGACCCCTGCACTTGGGGATCTCCTCTTCTGGTAGACAGGCGAGGCTCATCTATGGCGCACGGAGCAGCGCACCCACTTTCACCCGCCGGCATCTCTGGCTGGGCCCCAGTCTGCGTGCCGCCTAGCTAAGCGCCAACCCATTTCGAATATAGCGTGTGGCTGTTACGACTGGGGGCGGCACC